CTGGCGGCAAAATACGACCCCCTGTTGGGGATTCCCCAACCAACGATGTGCCTTGGTAGAAACTATGTAGCAGTAAGAGATGCGCAATCGATGTGTGTTGTAGAGACTATAGGGCCGTCAGAGACGCGCAATCGATGTGTATTGTAGAGACTATGTGGCCGTGAGAGACGCGCAATCGATGGGTATTGTAGAGACTGAGGGCGAGTGAGAGACGCGCAGTCGATCTAGTTCTTGCTACCCTCCAGCTCTCTCATAGTCTCCTACTCCCCTGCGGCTGCAAACGCTAGCAAACGCTGGGGAAAACGTGGCGAAAACGTTGCGTTACCTGGGAACGCTAGATCGATATCCATCCTCTCCCTGGCACTGCCGCTGGCGTACGTTGGGAGCGCTATGCTCCGCAAAGTATGAACGCAGCCTTATGAAATGCTGACAGTGCTACACAGGTAATTACGGAGACCGCCGATGTGTAAGTCTCAGTGCTTCTTCATAATCCCCATGTCGCTGGGTGCCAAGCTTACCGTTCGCCGGAAGCGTGAACGGTATTGCATTGGTTCGGGCGGGAGCCCATCCGGGATCTGATCCCCGGAAGGGCCCCCACCCAAAGCAATCAAACCGTTCACCGTGCGCCTGGTGAGTGTGCCAATTTCCACTTCACCACCTCTGCTACAATTGCAGCATATTCAATAGGGAGTCACCAATAAAAATGCGCTCTTGTGAAAGAGGATAATTTTTGTGGGTGTCCACACTTCCCGTGATGTACTCAGCGATGCTTCATCTAGGATGCAAGCAGATTCGCCCTTTCGACAATAATCTCTTAGGCGCCAGTTGCAACACTAAGTCACTTATATGCTGGACTATGGAACTGAGGAAACGGAACTCTCAAGCTCAAGGTGTGTGCTTCCTGAACCTTTTTCTGAGCTTGTGGGAAAGTTGCAAGAATTCCTTTCAGGTTCATCCTCAGCATAAGCTACAACGCCTAGATTAAAGACAGGCGCAATTCGAATGAAATGCGTACAAGCAAAAACTTGCTAAGTGATACCCAAGGCGTCAAAAAAAGAAACACAAATTGGGGGGGGCATCAATCAATGGGTCGTTCTGTCATCAGATGCTAGACAAATGACACTTCAGCTATCGTTACCTTTTCCAGCCGTCCCCATGTCGTTTATTCTCCCATTACACCAATTGCATAAATTTACATTGAATCTGAAAGTATCGTTAGTGTAACGTGGAGTGGAAACGAATAGAAAGGGCAGTTTACGGAGAGCGAAGCCGTTTTTGCATCGGGACGATGTGACAGAACTGGTGGGGTGGCTTTGCGAATGGTTGCAGTGAAAATTTTATGGTCGTTGTTATAAAAAAAATTAGGAATCAACTGCGGTACACTTCAGGAGAGTAGTGTGGCTGAATAATGGTGAATGTCCTTAAAATATACTTAAAACCATTCCAGCATGATTGTACGCCCTTCCATCGACCTTGTGAAAAAGAAATATGGGTTTGTCATTTCGAATAATCATAATCCTGCTTCTCCCTGACACAGACTCGTTCGGTGCCATCAGCCGGATTCGTCAGAGCGTGCTCCATCGGACTGTGATGTTTGTCATTCAATGAAAAACTGCTGGAAAGATTCCGAACCACTGAGGCTCTATGGAAACCGCACGTCAGGCTTCTTGCTTCTGGCCTTTATCTTCCCATGACAATGAAATCACAAAGTGCGGTAGAGCAGATGAAGAGCTATCGTTGAGTTGCGGAAAAAAAACTTGGGACATGTCAAAAAAAAGTTGGAATTTTCCCATAAATTAGGCTCTGTTTTTGTTTTTTCCTGGCTTGTGTACTGAAATATTGTGGATATCGATAAGCATGCCTGGGGGAACTGTTTTCAAATCAATAAAGACGACCCTAAGCAAACTTAGAACCGTGATATCTAGGTTCCGGCACACAGGGCCAGCATCCGGATGACAAAATGACCGAGTAAAAGTCTTCTCCTCAACCCCATCAGGTATCTTGAGGTGACTTGAAGCATGAGTTAAAGGAAAGAAGACCACCAACAAGAGTAACCAGTCCCTGCATTTTGGGGAATTCGTAGAAATCCGTGGATACCCCCGAAGTCCTGTGGAGTCGATTCCACGGATGATGAAGACTCTAATCAGGTCCAATATTGAAAAAAAACCAAATTCAGAGCGCCAAACGATTTCTTCTTGTTAGTTCTCGCTATCTGCTTACCTTTCCACTGTTTTGAAAAGCTTCGGAATTGTTTAAAACGCGACTTTTTGGGACATCTTCAAAGTTATTTTTCCTCAGCTGTATTTGAACTTAACATGGAAATTCCTAACGGAGAAGGAACTATCGACTCTATGTAGTGCTTCTACAAATAGCGCAACCGACGTACTCAACCATACCATGGTACTTCAGGCTTTCGAGTTGCTCTAGAGTTCCCGTATCCGCTCCCTATATGATCATATGCTGACAAGACATTCACTATAACACATGTGAACTACCTCTTGAAAATTGATGGATTTCTCACGGCAAAGGGATGAGATCACGAATAAGTGGTAATGGCGCTAAGCAGGGTATTATGTAGAAATAACTTTACCGGCTGGAATGGCTCTTTCGTTTGTGTCGTGCAGTCTGTCCATTAGGGAGAAAAACCATGATAGGTGAAGTGTGAAAGTAACGTTAATTCATTCTCTTCTATTTTGCCCCGCTCAACAACCAGAGGAATTCACGACGGACCTTATAGCTGATGAAAAACTGGTTAGTCGGCTGAGATGACGAAACCCGATAGCTAGCGTTTACTGGAACCTATAGGTATGTCGAGTCTGCGTGGAGGAAGTGGCTTCGGCAAAATCCAAGCAAAGCCGCGTTCTTCTTGTTATTCCCATAACATTCTGAGCAAGCGAAACGTGGAAGTTTCGTTTTGAGTTGCGCTTTCCATCAACGATGGTTCAGCGTAAAATCATGAAGAAACGTTACACAGATCACGTTGCCAATGAAGAAGTGCTACGTTTGCGCGGTACGAACAGGCTTTACGTAATTATGGCACGGCGGTAGCTTTGAATGGCTGGCCACTTTTACGCATGCCACAACATTGAATTCCTCGATTGCTTATGTAATGGATTCAGATGAGCCAAGAGAACCCGTGTTCATTCCAGAAGCACGTGGAGACAAACTTCCGATACTGAAAACGAATCATAAGTTTTCTAGAGAATTGCGAAAATTGGGGGGGGAGTAGTGTTTTATTATAATGACCACGATTTTCTTCGTTTAAAGGCAGTGCCCCGCGACCAGTTGAAGTTTCTCTCTCACCTTCGTGAGCAGGTAGACGTACCCGTAAAGGCAACGATTGCACCATTCTGGGAGAAAAAAAGTGAGGAAGCCGACGATGCCATCGATGCTCTTATTCGTTAACCAAATTTGAGTCGCCCCCCCCCCCCCCCCCCGCCCGCTCTATCCAGCCATAGCAACAGAAGGCCCGCCAAAGTTCGCAGGCAGCGAAATAGTTGTCAATGAGAAAACAACTGCGGCGACTATATCGGCCCGCTTGCCAGGAAGTTCTATTTGAGGCACGTGCAACCATTTTTTTTTCTGTTTTTTTTTTTCTCCGCGTTGACTTTCATGGCACACTGACATCGCTAGTTGAGAACCACTACCCGGAGTATCTGAAAGCGGCTTTACCTTGATTCGAAGTCTCACTAACATGTAGTCATCACAATTTTCAAAGAATCGATGCTGTCGTAAGCCCACCATTCACTTTTCGTGAGCGTCCCTAATTGGCATCCATGGATTCTCTGTGAATGAAAAACGTCACACAAACCAGTAGTGGAACTGGGTTGGTGAGGCAACTTTTTCGAATCGCTCAATGATTTCCATTGTTCTAATTGGAAATCACGTTGGCACTGCTAGTGCCTTTGTGAATACAAACGCTTTTTTGACAGTCGCTAGTCAGAAACTCTGAGACGGACGATCATTCACTTTTTCAGTTTACTCACGTCCGTAGGTGGAACGGAGCGGAATGTGTGCGTTGAAGGGCCCCATATAGTGTGACTAAGCTGCGAAAAATTAATTATCGGGTTTTTCACAGGAAGAGGTCTTTTTAAATTTTCTAAAATAGGGCGAATTAGCTCCAGCAAAATAACAAAGTCTCGCAGTTGCGCTTGCGAAACTCTAGCGATGTGGTTCCAGGTGAAAAGATTTTTAGTAGAGCAGAAAACAGAAGCTTTTCATCATCACTGTAGATCACAAGTAATTACCCACTGAATCATACAAGTAAGCAAATGATTTGCATTAGGGGGTGGCGCAGTTCGGCGACGGAGGGCATTCTGCACTTTCGTTGCTTCACTATGTCCGATTTACAAGTCTCACTCTGGTGAAACCTGTAAGCTGTAGTGAAGCTGGAGCAAACTCGTCAAGCCATCATGGTAAAACCTGTCAACTCGAGAAGAGGCCGTCTGGATGAGTCACAAGTTGATGGGAAGCAGCGAAAGTGCAAAATGCCCCCTTCACCATACATCGCCAGGAGTGTTTTTCCGGGTTCTATTTTTATGTGAGATTGATGTCTTCGTAGAGATCTTACAGGTTGTGCACACATACTCTATTGATGCGCCAAGTTACAAATCTTTCGATGAAGTTTGGTGATTTTGCACTAGTCTAGGTGAGACACGATTATACGAAACTGTGAACGACAGAATGCAATGAACAATTTATTTGTATAGAATCACTTCTGAAACACTTTACAGGCAGCAGTGAATTCATAACACTTTCTTTTCATGAACAAGAAGGAGGTGTGATGTTCGATGAAAAAGGGGAATGAAATTCTCTGAACGGACTTGGAGTTATCAAAGAGATCGATCCCGACAACGACAACGACGCAGGATCTACTGCCAAAACTACCCAAAATCTACGCGACGTTTTACTGTCAATGTTTGTCCCGCTATTTAAAACTATGCATTGTCCGGCTAGAAACCAGACCAATGATGGCAGTAATGAGCATGTCACATCGCGACTTAATATCCGGGAGCGGTACGCGGTGGTGGGCAATGATCGCAACTGCCTCCAGATCCAGCTTGTCCGGGTGCGCCAGGTTGTCCTGGTGCTCCTGGGTTTCCGGGGGCACCGTCCATTCCTGCATCTCCTGGAGGTCCTGGAGGTCCAGGCAATGCGCTGCCTGGGGTTCCAGGCTGGCCAGGTGGTCCGGGTGGTCCCATTGGTCCGGGTGGTCCGGCGGGTCCAGGAATGCCGGGAACTTCCGTGACCTGTCCAGGAGCTCCGGGTTGTCCAGGGGCACCAGGTTGTCCGTCGTTTCCAGGTGGTCCCATTGGTCCTGGTGGTCCTGGAGGTCCGGGAACAGCAGCACTTCCGTCCTGGCCTGGTGCTCCGGGGTTTCCGGGTGGTCCAGGAGGTCCTGGTCGTCCAGGTGGTCCAGCTGGGGCAGGTGGGCAATCAAAGCAGAAGTCACCAGGTGATGGAACTGCATCAGCTGCAGCGTCATTTCCGGGTGCTCCATCCATTCCAGGGGCTCCATCCTGTCCGGGGTTTCCATCGGGTCCGGGTGCACCTGGTGGTCCAGCGGCTCCAACACCACATGAGCAGCATGTTTGTGCTCCTCCACCGCTAACAGCTGAGTCAAATCCGCCGTAGCTGGCCCCTCCATATCCACCATCGTAGTTGGACGCTCCATGGGCGACGGCACGACGATGCGTAACACGTCCAGTGACACCGTTGCTTCTGCGCTGGACTGATGCTCTCTTGATGCGGCCGTTCACTCCTTTCAGGTGCTCGAACTGAAAGCAAACTGGATTCACTTCAACAACGGCATTGTTGTTTCTAAATTAGAGCCCTTTTCTTAGAGGAACGCAATCGCGTACGCGAACTGGTCCTCCAATAGGGTTTGCGAAATATAGCGTCGCTTTATAGCACAAAGAGACACTACTATTTATTCTCTCAGAAACCGGAAAGATTAAGGACAAATGCGGCGTCAAACGTTAAGAGCTCTTCAGAGCGATGCTTATGTGTGTTGTGAGAGGGTTTGGTCTAAGGTGTACGAGCGCCCATAATTTTTCAGAGAAAACTAAACAAAACTTACTCGGCCGTACTCATCCCAGAGACCATCGGTGCGGTGTCGGCAGAAGTCAACCTGAATGTGAGGATTTAGCAAAGGGATGAGCTGAAGGCCAGAAAGTTAGCCATACTTCGGTCTGAAGTGATGACTGAACGTGTTGCATATAATTGTAGAGCATCGGAACGGCGATGATAGCAGTAAGTGTGGCCACGGTTGAGATGGCAATTCCTTAAAATTGACATCTTACGTTAAGCAAGAAAACCCGGAGCTGGTAGAACTGGTTTTAAGCTCACCGAAGAATGCCAGTTTTCGGAGGGACTCGACCTCATAGGCCACTACCTTCGGGTCGTCGGATGTCATCTGAAATACTGTAGTTAGCTCAATAGTTAGACACTTCTGCACGGAACGAGCACGACATTCTCAAGTTCAATGGACTTTATGTGGAAACTTCTCGGACCATCTAGGTACCCACAGAATTTTCCTGCTCAAACGGCAAGCTTTATTCCGATATGTACGTACAAAACAAAGAATGTTGCTGAGGAAGAGCGTCGGGTTCACTCATCAATAGGAAAAGCGAGTGCTTTCAAAGAAACCACTGAAAAGAGTGAACAGCTCAAGAGCGGAAGCAAATTCGGCGGCAAGTGACAGGTATCAGCGCAATTTTTAAACAGGTTTCACCCCTCCACGCTGACGTTTACAGTGATGATGACAGGAACACTTGTGTCAAGAGATGGGCAGAAGAGTGCAAAACGAGCGGAGACTGCGAAACCGTCTGCGAAATGATTTCTGAGCGAACACATCGCGCACAGCTTTTCTTTTGGTGTTTGAAAAAGAACGCAGAACAAGCTCAGTCGTGCTGGAAAGTAGGTCGCTTAAATATCACTTCAAACAGCAAGAAATGCAGATGTGCAGTCAATCACATTGACGAAATAACTCGTTTAACAATGCAAAACCTTGGAACGGTGCGGCTGTGATCAGCCTCTATCAATACGAACTAATCCCGAATCCAATTTGGGGACCCGAGGGTAGAGAGTACCTTTCAAGTGTTGCAGCCACCTAATCGCTTAGTATCAAAGATGGCATGTACAATTTGAGCGATGGGAACCATCATGAAACAGGCGTTGGTAGCAGGACTCTAGGGAACTAGTCAAAAGATCTTTGAGTTTTCGGGTCTAATGAATATGGTTGTGAGAAGGTGTCGAACCGCCCGGTTCTCTATGTCGGTCTGAGCCTCTTCAAATGAATCCAGCGAGCAGCAGCCATTAAAAAGGGCACTCTCCACGAGTACAAGGCCATAAAGCAGGAAGATTACTCACCACTTGTCCTATAAAATGTGAAGGAAGACATTCAGCTACACAAGCGAAAAGTGAAGAATATAATTTAATATGTGAGCTAATAAGGAATTAGCTTCAGTAAAGGTGAGAGTCTTACCAAAACCGCCGAACTGTTAGACGCTGCATTGAGCTTATTCTGTCCACAGAACTGCACTGCTTAAATAGGTAGACTTGGAGGCGTGGTCGACACTGCGCCATCTACGATGGCGGTTTCACCTTCATGCGCAACTCGTCGATCCCCTCCCACTCGAACACAGCGCCGTTGTCAGCTCAAACAACCTATGCAAGGAGAAAGGCTTTCTCCGTTAGCGAGATGGAAAGTAAAGATGGCATCAAAAGATACCAGTGAATTATCGTAGAACTCCAGCAGCACATCAGCGCGCTACCAACGTCATCTCGGAATACGGTAATTAGCCATCGGCGCTCACTTTCATGAAATTTTCGGCGGTATCGGCTGCGATTGAGTTCAATTGAGTTCGCAGTTTTTGTCTCAGAATCATCTGTCACAGTACCCTTTTCAAACTGGTGACTCGATTATTGTGAAGAAATGGAGTGATGATGCCCGTACTATAGGGGACTACTGCAAAGCCACAGCGACCTAGTGTTCCGGATTATACAGCATGGTGTCACTGTTTTACATTCCTCGTGCCCGATAGTTTACTTTTAGAGCGAATTCTGCTTTACCTACAAAGAGTTCAGGTCAGTTGGCAGTGATGATTGAGTGACCTTTTCCCTTTTCACTGCTTCAGCTACCTCGAGAAACTAATTGAAAAAAGGATCATGTTGATCTCATTTTCGCAGGGTTAGTTGCTCCTCAGACTTTGAAAACCTTAGCAACTAGAGAAAACCTATTTAGATAGTGAAAACAATAACGCAGTTCGGCTTGATGGAAGCACCAAATGATTTTTAGCCCTGCGAAGCGTGTGCACGCTACTTTAGAGTAAATTCCTTTTGCTAAAGTGGGTGAGCACCACAAGAATTTACAGGTCCTACCACACAAGAATTTACAGGTCCTTAGCGTCCTACCAAAGTGAGACCTGTTATTTAACATGAGCCAGCTTTTGAAAATGTCCCCTCCACCCCAAACATCTCAACAGTTCCAGTACAGCATCAAAAGAGAAGAAGAAAACTCGAAGAGTTTGCTCCACGGAAAAGGCGTAAAGAAGTACAGTGTGCTCGCTTTCCTAGTCCTAACAAAACAAGCTATCGTGGTTTATTTCATCCTGATAATCCATGAGTAATGGCGTTTTTCTTTAATTGCGTTAAATTTGCATGAAAATCGGAATATTTTCCAAATGTGCTCTATTGGATTGGTGGATTCCTCTCTTCGAGGCCATGCGCTTATTCTTCTATCCTTTTCATTATCTTCTTTTGTTCATAATTCATTAAAATCGAATGTCGGGTTAACAACACATAGGTTTTCGAGAACCATTTTTTGTGATTAATTCCAGGGACGGCTGGCTCAGCGGATTGAGGGAAATACGTTCAGGCCGTGAATGCGCATCGTATGCGGAGTTCTATTGGAGAGCGACTGCCCGCAGAAGCGTCGCAAATTCGTTGTAGTCTTGAGCCCCTCTTAGCAAGTAAAGGATAATCAACGAGGACCTTGGGGCCTCCCATAGCTCGCACACCTCTCACTTTTTCGGCATGGATCTCCTTAACCAAGCTGATTCAGCTCAGCTTTCAATCAAAACTCGTTACACGTCCGGGGCGGTGCCGGTGTCTGCAAAGTTAGAGTTTGAAATCTTTGACCGCCTTGAGCCTTTTGTACCACCCTAGGAAACATTACTCTCCTGTTAGAAACGTATGAAATGAGCCTCTGCCAGTGCATCTTTTTGACTGAGAGGGAAAAAAGGAGAGCCCCTTAGAAATACCCACTTTTGCCGACTGACACTTCACTTCCAGCCCTCGGAGCGTAATGAAAATTGAATCTTCAAGCAAGCGAATCATGCCTAATCCCATAGGATAAGAACTATCAATCAAACTTCCCAGGCTCACGGCGAAAACTTCAAGCTGAAAAAAACGCTACACTTATGGGCCAGCCCAATAGTTTGACTACTTTACTACCTTGGACACTTATGATTGAACGTGCAAACTTTATCGGCATCGTTTCGCTGCTCCTCTCCAAACCGGTGAAGTTTCATTGCCCTGCAAGAGCGACCCACGAGGCTGCACCTCCATGATCAAATTAGATTCACCCGGTTCACTGGCGTTCGTTAACGGTTCTGCGAGGAATGCCAATACCCTTACCCTAAATCTTGACAGCTTTCTACTTGAATGCTTTCGCAATTCGAACTTGTTCCGGTTATGCTTTGAACCATCCATCACTCACCAAAACCTTCGTTAGTAAGCCATCTGTAGTAGAACAAATGCTTTTTGGACAGATTTGCTGCAAATGGAGTGAGACCCGTTTAGAACTGCTTGTGAATTTTTAGAATTTTTTTGCAAGGAGCGGCACGATGCAGTTACCCAGCCATGCCCATATAATCATAAAGTAAAAGAACTTTGTAGAGGTTCAACGTCCGAGTCGCATGCTGTTCATTGGGAGTTTTTGAGCCGTTCTTCCGGAAGGAAAATCAATGGGATGGCTGATCAAAGCACTAATAAGAGTGGCGAGCTTGTATAAGATGTTATCGAACTAAAATAGAAAAAAATGAAATTGGAAAGAGTTTGGAATGTCTACCAACTTCCATAAGTAACTTTCTGGTTTGTGACCTACACCCGGCCACCTCCTCGGCCTTATACAAATGAAAGCGAGACTGAAGTAGAATCGAAAACTATCTGCTCCTGCCTCTTCAAATGCGTTTCGCATCACGAATCATCAGCACTCTGTTGAGGCTTGACTACGAGTACCCCACCACTTTGGACACTAAGTAATCGAAGTAGCGATGACGCTAGTTTCAAAAATTTGTGCACTTTGTCCTTTCGCAAAACCGATCAGTAATTTAACGACAGTTCCCGAAATCAAGTGGTCCCCGAAATGCCTCCTTGCATTTGGAATCGTTGTCCGCATCCGCAGAAAATATACCACTTCCGTCACTCGAAACGGTGAAATAAAGAAGCCAGAAACGCGTGATTATTGCAACCATTGCAACAACGATTGCTTTCAATCTGCAAGACAACGGCTTACAAACGGAGTCGCGTGTACATAGGGTTGCCTGGAGCGTAGTAATGTTATTTCCCAGCTCCTTTCGGGAATTGGTTGAGCATCGATTCCTGCTAATTGGTTTTGGGACGTCCGATTCCTTCAAGGCGTCCACTGCCGATGCTGTCTCTGTTCATAGTGTTCCCAAGATTTTTTGCCTCTCTCTTTTGGAGAGTCACCTATGGGCTACTGTTCATGACAGAGCACTTACTATCCGTCACCTTGATCGCGGGAATTGTCTTTAGTTTAGCTTGCATGTTGGGTAGTGCCAAAATTCTAGGCGACTTTGGATGCCTCTTGCATTTCTCAATATATAGGACGTTAGGACAGGAGGGACCCACACAAGGATGCAGTTCATACATACATGTTGAAAACTTATGAGCGTTCCCTAGAATCTCAAAACATTGCCTTCCTCCCCCCCCCCTCTTGTGCTGTATAGCATTCGGATCGAATTCGCTGAGTACGAAGTTTGCTGAAGACCTGAAGCAGTTACGATTGTGTATATGGCTTTTAAAAGAGCCAATAACTTTGGGGAACCGGTGCCCATTACCGCTCCTCTTAAGTGCAACCGGTGCCTAGCAGCGAGCTCAGAACTTCGACATCGTCCGTTGAACAGAGCGCATATGTAATTATGTTATCATCACATGAGCACATAAATAGGTGCTTGGTTATCGCGCCGCAACTCCATTAATGTTACAAGTTATCAACCACTGTCGCTAGAACTGCATCATTTCAGTTTTTTGATGAGTGTAGGGGCACAAGTGTTACAGCGGCAGAACGATTTGCAACACACCGCAAGGAAGTTGTTGTAATTCTTCGTATAGCTAAAGTAAGGCCCTGTTTTGCTCTGGTTTTCAAATGTTCTCCTGATTAGCAAAATT